TGCCAAGTTCGTTTCTGCCAAAATCAAAAACTTCTTCGGATAATAAATTTAATAATTTTAAATTGTTTTCGCAAATCCACGGAGAGGCCCGGCAAGACAGACACAACTCCGAAATGAACGACGGCCAACGCTCCGGCCAGTCCCGCTTCACTATCTGCAGCAGCAGCAGCAGCAGCAGCAGCAGCGGCAGCAGCGGCAGCAGCGGCAGCAGCAGCAGCCGCGCTGCTGCTGAGCGTGCTTGGGAAGCGTTTGTAGAGGCGTACAACCGACCTAAGCAGCAGCAGCAGCAGCAGCAGCAGCAGCAAGGAAGCAGCAGCAGAGGGGGGGCCCTGCTGGGGTGTACGTACAGCTGGCCCTCCTGGGAGAGCCCCTGGGAAGAAGCAGCAGCAGCAGCAGCAGCAGCCGCTGCTCGGCCTCTCCGCCTCCACCTTCCTCAGGCGGCTCGGCACGCAGCTCGACAGGCGCATGCGCAGCAGCAACAGCAGCAGCAGCAGCAGCAGCAGCAGCAGCAGCAGCAGCAGCAGGCGTACGCGTCGTCGTACAGCAGCAGCAGCAGCAGCAGCAGCAGCAGCAGCAGCAGCAGGGGGCGCCTCCCGCTGAACTAACTGGGAAGCAGCAGCAGCAGCGCAGCAAGCGGCTCAGGCTGCTGCCTGGGGGCCCCCTTAAGGTACTTAGAGCAGCAGCAGCAGCAGCTGGGGGGCCCCCAGCAGGGTGGGAGGGGCCCCCCGGGGGCAGTGAACCCTCAAAGGGGGCCCCCCTGGGCCCCTTTGAGGGTTCTTTTAGGCCATTGGGATGTATTTAGAATTTAATCGCAGATTATTTTGACTTTTAAGTTTTTAAATTTCCAAAAAGAAAGAAATGAACTCCGAAAAGGCGCTGCTGGCACTGCTGCTGCTGCTGCTGGTGTACGTACACCCCAAAGCGTGCACCTGCGGAAAACGCGAGTCCGGGGTCTGTACACTTTTAATTTTCTTTCTTTTGCAATTTATTTTCATTCTTTTGCACTTTATTTTCATTCTTTTGCACTTTAACTTCGAACTTTGCTCTTCAATTCTTATTTAAATTCCAAATTCGGTGTATTCGTCGAGTTCTTCTGCGCGGCTGGGCGGGCGGCGCTTGGGGGTTGAGAGTGTTCACTGAGGCGCTGAATTGGCTCTTCCGAGGCCTTATTTGGAATTTTAAACATCAAAATTAAATTTAAAATTAAAATTAAATAAATTGTTTTAATTTAGAGCAGCTTTTTGGTCTTTTTTGCGGAAATAGAGCCCCGCGAGACTGCAGCCGGGCTGACCACTGGTCAGGTGCTCCCGGTGCGGCGGCAGGGCCTTTCTGCGTCTCTGCTTTGCGCGAATTGATGAAATAAAAGAATTAAAAGAAATAAAAAGATGAAATTCAATTTATAAATCCTTTTTTCTCCTTTTTATTTCCCCAAACGCCTCCAGACAGAGGCCCCCAGCCCTCCGTTGCCACATGCACTGGGGTGTACGTACAGCTGCTGTTCCTCGCCGCGTTTTCCACTCCCCTTTTTGTCTCTTTTCTTTCACTTTCTTTTCCTCGCCGTCGCCCCACTTCAAAAAGAGCAGCAGCAGCAGCAGCTGCAGCAGTGACAGCAGCAGCAGCAGCAGCAACAGCAGCGGCAGCAGCAGCAGCACCAGCAGCAGCAGCAGCAACAGCAGCAGCAGCAGCAGCAGCAACAGCAGCAGCAGCAGCAGCAGCATTTTTGCTGCTGCTTTCTTGTAGTTTCTTCGCAAAGACTCTCAGCATTTGCCCGGAGGCTTTGAACTGCTTTTGGGCTTTTGCTGCTTCTCGTGTCTTTGCACTTGAGGTGTCTGTACACCTGAGATCTGTCCTTCTCGACTTCCCTTTTTCAGGTGTACGTACACCTCAAAATGCCGCTGCCAGCTTCCCCGGCTGTCTCGAGAGCCTGTGGGGTCTCTGAGGCCTCCCCAGCTGCTGCCGCCTCCGCCGCCGCCGCCGCTGCTGCTGCTGCTGCTGCTGCTGCTGCTGCTGCTGCTGCTGCTGCTGCTGCTGAGCCGCAGCAAAAAGAACTGCTGCCCACAGCTCTTGACCCAAACCGGCGGCTGCACTTCATAGAAATCGCCAACAAGGGCCTCGAGGCTGTCTTCGTGGGGTCTGGGGAGCACACCGACTTGGGGGTCAGCTGCTGCTGCTGCTGCTGCTGCTGCTGCTGCTGCTGTTGCTGCTGCTGCTGCTGCTGCAGCTGCTTTTACTTCGCGATAAAGGCAACAATTAGTTTTTTTTTGATTTTTTGAGTCTTTTCGTTAATTCGCTTTCTGGAAATCCCCGAAAGTCAAGAGCTGCACTTCGCCTACTCTAATATTATATGCATGCTTCTCTTGTGCTGCTGCTGCTGCTGCTGCTGCTGCTGCTGTTGTTGCTGCTGCTGCTGTTGCTGCCTACTGCTACTGCTGCGTTCGCCGTCGCTGCCGCTGGTGCCGCCCCGGCTGCTGCTGCTGTGCTGCTGCTTTCGCTGCTGCCGCCTTCGCTGCTGCTGCTGCTGCTGCTGCTGCTGCTGCTGCTGCAGGCCGTGCAGGCAAACCACCCGCTGCCGCAGCTGCCGCTGCTGTCTTACTTCGAAGTCAGCATTTTAGAAGCTGCTGCTTTTCGCTCTTCCGTTTGTGTGGGACTCGCCACGCAGTCCGCGCTGCTGAACAAACCCCCGGGCGTAGAGCCCAGGTAGGGTTTAGGGTTTAGGGTTTAGGGTTTAGGGTTTAGGGTTTGGGGTTAAGGGTTTGGGGTTTGGGCCGGGGCTCGGGTCCAGGGCCAAATGCTCAAGGCTCTAGGCTTCAGGGCCCTCTTTTCAGGGTCAAGGGTTCACGTTTTAGGGTTTAGGGTTTAGGGTTTAGGGTTTAGGGTTTCGGGTTTAGGGTTTGTGTGCAGATCAGTTGGCTACCGCGGCGAAGACGGCCGCAGGCACTTCCGCCGCGGCAGGCCCTTGGGGGCCCCCCTGGGGGCCCCCCAGGGGGCCCCCCCCTCGGGGGGCCCCCAGAGCGGGGGCCCCCCAGCCTCTGGGGGTATGGGCCAGGCTGTGGGGGGCCCCCAGGGCTCAGGGGGCT